AATAAAACATGCAAAGTTTTAGTAAGTCATATGATGGAGATAATAAGAGAAGAGTACAATTCTTCCAACCATATTTAAGAAAACGAGTGAAGAAAACTCATCGGATAATCCATATACCTTAAATCTGATATTTTTAATGGTTATTCCAAGTGTGCCATAATATGTTCGTATATCTGCAAAACCAGCCGTGAGAGGTCGAAGAAATTAAAAGAGAGCCCAACGATTGTTCTCGGTCATCAAGGTATGATGACTACCAACACTTGTTTTTCTATATATTTCAACCATCACACAGATTGCGCAAAGTCTGCTTAAATCGATAAGCTTTTTGTTTTCCTATGAGAGAAAAGGAATAGACTAAGTGACCATAAATGGAACTAAGACAAGAAAATATTAATTAAGCCGCCTCTTTTTTCAAGGCGGCTATCCTTGAATATATCAATTAAGAATAAGAAGTTCTGACTTAGCTTCATGCCGGTAATCCTTGCTATAGCAGATACAACTCGGCTTAGCCGACAAACTCAGTACAGAAATGTGACATGGGAATAACATAGATTTCCTTGAAATTAATGTCTGCCTTGTGACACATGGACAATGGTGAAAGTTTCGAGACTATATCCAGCACTACCTGGGTTCTAGTTCCACTAAGGGTTCTGATGGGACCAGTGAGATTAAAGCTGAACTGTACACTGGATGAAAATACCTTTTGGGAAGCAAGGCAATATGAAATTAAATCGAAAAATGAGGGCTTGACATATGATTGCGGGAAAATTCAACTGCCAGTCCTTTATCACTATAGACAAAATACGGTGAATACAGCTCTAATATTAGCTTTTTTAGAAGGAAGAAATTGATCTAAATTCCACTCTTGCTAGATGTTAGGCATAAAAAAGTCGTGAAGAATTTCATTTTGCATTAGTGTACGACTAAGAGGTTCGCAGTCAATATCACCAGAAGATGACTGACTCCTGCTGTTCAACAGTATTTCAGCATACTAAGATATTCAGGTTTACACAGTCCAGAGAACATCCCCATAAGTCTCGAGTGAAAACTGGCTGTGCTTTTGGCCGCAAAATAGCAGATATCGCCTTGCAAAGGTATCAAGTAAAATCAAGAAGACCCTCGATTGACGAGATATGACTGGTGGTTTCGTATGCTGACTTATAGGCGCACAAACTTATAGCTCATATCAACCAGACGCACATTCGGTTTTACACAATCCCAGTCATGCCTTTCTTTGGATCGATAAACTTTGATGACCCAGGACTGATGTTAGGCTCTATTGTGACTAGGCCGAGTTATGACCATTATTTCGTACCCTGACTTACAGATTCAAGCACACTCACGTATGCACACTTAAGTATAAGTACTTTGATTAATGTGAAAAAGAACTAACCAAAGCAATCTATATCTATATATTTTTGTTTTAGTTATGAATAGATAGATCCGGCTAGTCTTCTTGACTTAGTGTTAAAGTGAAGCTTTTGTAAGAAGGAACCAGTGCAGAGCGTGAATCCATCGTAACTTTCTGGTTAGATCGTCTTACGAATCTCTTCATCATGAATTTTCATATAAAACGTAAGCTTCCACAGAAATTCAATCTAAGAAGATTAATCGAAACTCTACTCTTAGTATTTAAAAAGTCAGAAGTTATTAATATAAAAAGGATATTGTATAAGGCTTACCTGGAGAATGAGGGGAAGATGTAATCAACGAGGATGGTGTAATGCCCGAGTCAGTCAAAATCGGCCTGGAAACTTGGAGGCGACGAAGTCTGGCCCATGGCCATATGCGTGACCGAGGCCAAATTCGAGTCCGTGAACGAGTCCCCATAAGGCTTGTCAGCATGCGACGTGAGGGTATGGCAGAGCGAGAAACTAAAGAAGTTGAAGGCTGCCCATCAGAAGCGCCTAAGGTAGACGCTGTGGTAGCGACACCGGGAGCACCAGGACCCAAAATTTTTGTCGGAATCGCAAAGCAATTAGGATCAAGTTTTAATCCAGCCTCCGTAAAGTCATTTGGGCCTGATGAGTCTAGTGCTGGTGCGGAGAATATTGTAGCTGCGGAAGAAGATAAGTGAGACGGAGAGTCAGGTGAAGTCGGAGAACGTGACGAGAGTTTTCTGTCCGCTTGAGCCGAGGGTAATGCAAAAGGTGCAGTTTCAGAAAAAGAGGAGGGACATAATGAAAAAGAAGCTTTTGAAATCGAATGCCTCTGATCACTGGATGCTGAAAAAGTAGAGTTCGTAGTATCGGAAAATAAGTCAACAGGATTAGGTGCTCCTGTGCAAGCAGACAGTGCAGAAGACAGAATGGGCGTTCTGCGAAATTTTCGATTGCCCAAATTGCTGGCTGATGCACGAGGACGTCGCTGAGGCCGGGGTGAGAGAGTACAGGGATGTGAAAGAAGTAGGGAACGCGAAAAAAAGCGCCGTCGACAACGAAAGTAGCCGAGACGACGATGAGCGTATGGGCCTAATGAGGCATTTAAAGGAAAGATAGGTGGAAAGGACCTCTTTGATCTGGATGACTCAGATCGCCAACCATCAGTTCCAGGGTGGCGAGGAACCACTCGGACAGAACCTGAAGAACACGAGAAAGGCAGTTGAGCATAAATAAAAATGGTAAAAACTCTATTAAGCAGTAAACCTGTTATTTCCTTGCTTCGGAAAAAAATGT